GAAAAAATTCTGTCATTTTTTTTTTTTTTTTGTGTGTGGAAAATTTTCTACTTTTGAGTACAATGAATGTAGTGATTTAATGACAGCTTCGAAAACCATCGTTAAATCTTTTTGACAAACAATCTCTCTCCCACGTCATCTTTTTGGTGGACATTAGACCAAAATGTGTTGTTAAATGTTTTTTTTAGTGATGAAATCTATTATATGATGATGTTTATTTTACAGGACTTTTTCTAGTAGTTTTTACAAAAATAAACTTTCAGTAGTCTCTTAATTTTCAGTCATTATATATGTATCAGATTCTATCCGTTTTGCATATTTTTTCAATCTACAGTCAAAAATTGAGACTACTAATAGGACGGACTATTAGAGAAACTCCCTTATTTTACTTAAATAAATATATCACCTCTATTAGGAAAGTTCAAATCATTCAATAGTGAATACAATTTATAAATGCACGGCTTTGTCTCTCATTCGCTTAAACTTTCAAGAGATCAGGATTTTTTATTTTTTATTTTTTATTTTTATTTTTATGGAAGTACCATTTCTCGCGACAATGACAATGACAATTCACGTATCAATGAAAGAATTGGAATAGAAATTTGAGACCCATTAACATTATTCTGTGACACATTTTTGTTTTCTCAATAAAGCCGAAGATTAATCTTTGTTGGGCATTATTAGGATTTCCACTTGAAGAAGAAACTATATAGTGTACAGTACCGAATTTACGTTGGTATTTTGGGCCCAATACAAAATGGCGGGTCCTTATAGTGGTACGGCCTACCAGCTTTGGTTGTTGCTTTCCCGCTAAAGAATTCAAGGGAAATGCCGAATTACATTGTTATTTTTTTTCATCAGTTAATCACAATTTAATTTTTTTTATTATAATATTTTTTCACATAAAATTTGAATTTAAGGCATATTTAAAATCCCCAATAATTTTACTTGAGGACAAATCATTGCGGAATTCTAATTTCTAAAGAGAGAATAACAGATTCTATCGTTGTTTTAAGTATCTAACTTACTAAAAATATCATTTTTAAAAAACTTTACCTCTTAACTAATTCTTTAAAAGATAGAAATATATGGCTAAAGTTAATGGATAAAAATAAAAAGGGTGCATTTCAAAGAGTATTTTTAAAAACTGCCCAATTCTAAACCTTTTGCTTTTGCTTGGAAAAGATCTCACGTTCATGGAATTTGGTACCCCAAGAACTTTCAAAACCAAACCCACTTGATAATTGTAGATGTGAAAGAAGAGAATCATAATCATTGATGTTACTGATATTACTGTGGAACACACAGATAAACATAATGATAAGCCTGTTTCAATTATCAAAAAAAAAAAAAAAATGATAAGCCTGTTTCTCTAATTAGCATTAAGCATTCACATCAAGTACTTTTTGGGGTCATAAAAATAATCTATTCGTGGACTTGATTTTGTTCGTCATAATGTTAATTAAAAAGAACAAACAAACAAAGAAAGGATATAAATTGGTCCGTTTAATTCGTTGATTCAAATTTTTAATTTGAGTTGAGATGTGACTTTATGTGAGAATTTTTTACTGTAGTAAAAAAATTAGATGTGACTATTTCTGAGAGCTTTTTACTGTAATAAACTCAAATTCTAAACTTAAATCAGTAAAATGAACGGGTCTTATTTTATCATATTATGTAATTAGTGAGGGCGTAATGTATACATCAATTCTTAACAGGATTCCTTTTGCTTTGATTAACAACTTTGTACTGTTTGTTCACGGTTCATTCATGATTTATTTGTACTAAAACAATATCATTATAAGTAATGTGGTACGCAAATTTTTTTTTTTTTAGATTGTGAAGTTAGGCAGTACCCTTGAGATAACTTTTGAGCATTGACTTAAAAATCCATGCATAATGTTGGTAGGTATTCAATGTTGATTCGTTTAAAAGCATTTTAGAACACGACCCTAACAATATTGATTTATTTAAGGGACTAATTATCTGAAGTTAGCTGAATTCAATATAGTAGAAGTCGTTTTCAAGTCTACGAGTCCTTGACGACATATATCTTCTTCCATTGTTTCAATATTTTAACCTCTGTTGTGAGTTAAAGTTACTAAATATTGAAACTATTGAACTTGAGAGAATATTTAAGAAAACCTACTACATGTATTTGAGCAATACACCGGTGGAGTCAATTTCTAATTATTAAATCTGGTTAAAATTACATTAAATTAAAAAATATATACATAACAAATAATTTTTTATACAAATTTTACGGCTAAAATTAAAGAATTATGTATAATTCATTTTTCTAATCATATCACAAAAACTCTTGTATTATTAATCACCAATTACAAGAGCCAATACAAGAGGGTTTTTATTTATTTATTTATTTTTGGGTGAATGGACTAAAAGCTTGCAATAGTAAGTAATTAATGCATATAACCGCATATCTTTTGACATGCATTCTGTTACCACTTACCAAAAAAGAAAAGCGATGACTACATCTTTCAACTTCCAATCCTTAAAGTCATCACTCTCCAACTTCTTACGACAAAGTCTTCACTCTCCAAACGTTAAAGAAAAATTCCACCGACTATTTTCGTGATCAACACCATTTCTAGCCCTAGGAAAGAAAGCGCTTCACGCTCTTTTCAGACTATCAGAACAATATTTATCAGTTCTTGATGGGTCTAAAGTGACACGTTTTTTCCTCAGCATATATAATATAACTACAACTTAATATGTACATTACTTAGCATGTGGGGGGCCCTACATCCTAAAGGTTATTAGGATTGTTCGCCCCTCTCTACACTTTTTCACAAACAAAAACACTATTATTATTATTATTGTAGGGTAAAATCTCAAACTCTATGTCATATACTAGATAAGTGTCACGTGACAATTAGAGGTATTAAATGATTGACAACTCGGCATCAAGTATCCTGCAATATGAAATTTAGTAGAGGCCAACCGCACTGAGGAGAAGATCGCAATGTGAAGTTGACTGCATCACCATTCGAAAGTGGAGAAAGGAGAGCCAAATAGGTCGAGTCCAAGCACATCTTGAAAGACGTGATATCTGTTCTGAGATTTGACATGCAATTAAAATATGCAGAGTAAGTAGAAAATTAGGTGGGGAAATCGTGCTGATTGAGAGAAAGCTCGATATCCGTAGGTTATAATCCTAAAATTTAGGGAAAAAATCAGAAATTCAATTGAGAATTGACAGGATCAATATGATGTAAAAATATGAAAAGAATGGCCTAGAAAAGGAGTTATGATCTCTCTTCTCTTTTTTCTCTCACTCTCTCTCTCAGTAACTTTTTATCAGAAAGAAGTAAATAATTGTCCTTCTCACAGTGGATGTAGCTCTAGCTCTTGAGTTCAGAGTGAACCACTATAAATGTTTATGTTTAATTGATTCTTAATCTGATTTTTAATCACTGAGACCACACAAATCAATCTAAAACTTATTTTATATTATTGATAAATTTTTACCGTCAATAATAATAATAATAATAATAATAATTATTATTATTATTATTAGTATTATTATTATATTATTAGTATTATTATTATATTATTAATCAGCAACATGCTGTAATCCGTATTCCTTTTTACAGCTCGAGCACAACTATAATGAGCAACCAAAGTCGCATTTCGGTGATTCGATTCAACCTATAGAAAAAAAAAACAAGTTCATCAAGTAATTAGATCAGTGAGACAATATATAGCATATCTTTTTGACGTGACACGTTTTTTTTTTTTCAAACAACATGATCTATTATTTTAAGCCGTACACCTTTTTGTAATTAGCTATCAACTTTTAGCAATCTTTTCTTTTTTTATATGACTAATATGTAGTTGTTAAACGCCTTTTGACAATTCCACCCATAGTGTCCTCCGTTCCCTAATCCTGCCATAGCTTTCTGTTAATTTTCAACGTTGAGAACACTTAAGTGGGACCCAATATTACATCTCTTGCACAGACGGCTCCATGCAGAACTCCAATCCCTGTTCATTATTCGAGTTTTATTAAAAAACTCATAAAAATAATAACATTTAATTTTTTTATTATAATAAAAAATTCTCATATAAAATTACATCTTAATTTAAATTAAAATTTTAAATTAGTAAATTAAACAGTGTTGAATACATTCAAATGACTTTTTGTGATCCTCAGCGGATGTGTTGTGAGCCGTTGTATGGTGCTCTTTCTATGCATTGTGATTACTAAAAAGGGCTAATCAATGTTATGTTGAACACTTGCATTTATTTATTTATTTAAGAGGTAGCCTTCTATTTTCTTTAGACAAAAAAATTTAAAAAAGAAAAACAAAACTTTGCCCATCTGTTGTCTATGTATGTTTCTCATCTTCCCTTATATTTCTGCAATAATTCAAGCATAAAAATGCGCAGGATTTTTATTTTTTTTAATGATGAAAAAATATTGATAGGTTTGAATTTGATTGGTTTTAGTAGGCCATAACAGGACATGGGATTGCTTTTATATATTCCCAGCATCATTAGTTTACACTTTACAGTATGTGCGCTGAGAAACAACTTTAAGGTTTTTCCCAATCTCCACAATAATATACCAGACAAACTCCAAGTACTTATTGGTCACAAAATGATTCAATTAATTCACAAAGTCCTCGTGGGAATCCATTCGCACACCATCAAATTCACCCTTTTTTTCTCTTTAATGGAAGGAATGTCTGTTATCTTTTGGGAAAGCTCAAGTAAAAAGGAAAATCGGTAATGATTTTGGAATAGACGCAGAGAAACTATTGATGATGAGGTAAAGAGATAGTGGTCAAAAGCTCAAAAACCAAAAGGCCAAACTGAGCAATTCCTGTACTTAAACAGCACCTATAAAGCTGAATCTAATTATGAATAATATAATATATGTATATATGGTCATACCATATTGCAAAAATCATTTCATAAACTTCAATCTTGATCTCCTTTTGTGCCTTTCCCTCCATTTCTCTTAAAAAAGTTTTTTGCTTGACAAGATTAGGCTAAAAGGAAAACTTGAAAATTTTGAAGCTCTTGAACAGTTAAACTATTTTTCACCAACAGGTCCCACCTACAACAACCATTGATCCCACAATGGAACTTTTAAGTTTTGTTCATCCAAAAGAAAACCCTGTTGTGGATTAGCAAGATTACAAGTCTAGGTGTCGGTCCAAGCAGCGAAAATAGGCATGTGAGGCATAGAAATCGCAGGCCTCTGTTGGTTCGTAGGGATCCAAGAATTCACAGCATTTGTTGGACTAGTAAAGAACTTGGAAACTGACGGAGGCATTCCGAAAAGCGTGGGATGGCTGCTCTTATCTGGGCTGCCTTCCCTTGAGCTGCTTAAACTAGTCACCAACGACGAAGCATTGGACAAGTGAGTCCCCATTTTAGCCGAATCTTCCACCTCTTGGTGAATCATACTCAGTGGGGCAACTGAGAAAGATTCGGTTTTGTAAGTGTCAATACTAAGAGGCTTCTGATCAAGTAGCTGAGACGAGTGGTAGAGTGACATTTTCCAATCCGATTCGCTCTCATTGTCCTTTGACATTGTGATTTCATCACTGACACTATTAGTAGCAGAGTTGTGATTTGCAGCCTCACTACCTGGTGATCCTGCCTCCTTGGTTCGCCGAGCAAGATCTCCTGCAAGAAGGGTATTGCTTGCCATGATCCGCTCGACATCATATCTTGTTATGTCAAAGTTGGTTACGGCATTTAACCCGCGGAACTTTATGGCTGCTATGTCATATGCTTCGGCAGCTTCCTCTTGAGTGCCTAATTTCAGATCAGAATTTTCATAATTAAGTCTCTTTCTGGCTTCTAAATTGGATTAGTGAAAATCTAATAAAGCCTCAGCTCGAATAGTGAGCAATTTTCAAAGTTAAGTGTGTATGCGTCCGTGAAAGATCAACTTTCGCAAAAGTTTAGTCACACTGACTTCCAGAGCCGTACAGTGTCAAAAGTGACTAAAATAGTGGCCAAAAAGAAGAGTTCAAATAGCCAAGAGTGACTCAAAGATTAGCCTTTTTGAAATCATGTGTCATAATCCTTTTTAGTCTCTAGGTTGTGATCTAATAATAATGACATGGTTGGTATAATATCATACACTGAAAATTCAACAATAACATCAGAAAAGTGTTTTTTCTTTCCCCTTTTTTTTTTGGTAGTAAAGTCACGGTTTGAGATTACTCACTGAATGTCCCAAGATAAAGATCTTTGTTTCCAGCAACTCTGCCAATCCGAGCCTGCCATCGTCCATGCTGATGATGCCTGTAAACATATTGAAGCAGAAAACACAGATTTCAGAACCAAAAATAAAAAATAAAAAATATATTTTTTTCTGACTTGCATTCAAATTTTAAAATACTGTAGAAAGATTAAACTTAACAGCCAAAGCCAAATTAGACCTTGTTACTCCTCTGTATATTGAAGCCCCCCTCGAGAATCCACTGCTTTTCCTGTAAAAAAGAAAAATATTTTTTTAATAAGGTGGCCAAGAAAAAAAAAGGCAACAAAATATGTAATAATAGCATGAAGAGAAGCAAAGATCTACCTTCTTAAATGAGCAACATATTCCTGTCTGGTCATGTTCTTCATTTCTTCAAGTTCCTTCTGATAATTTTCCAACTGCCCAAACAAACATTTTCCTTTGCATAAGTAACAACAAAAGAAAACAAATAAATAAATAAATAAATAGCGAAGATTAAATACTCACTGGGAAGTTGATATGAGTAGAGGGTCCCCAATACTTGAGTGCTGCTAAATCATAAGCTCTTGCTGCTTTTTCTTCCATATCATACCCTCCTGCAGTTATAATTTTGGGAATGATTTCATGAATAAATCATAGTGGAAAATCATGTGTTAAAAGGGATTTGATCATTGCAAATACCAATAAAATAAAAAACTCACCAAGATAAACTGCAGTGGCATGGCATTCCAGTCAAGCAAGAAAAGAGGAACCAAAAGGGGGAAAAAAAAATCAGTTGGTTAATGGAACTGAAAGAGACTAAAAAAAACCTTTTTTTTTTTTTTTTTTTTGTAGTAAACATGAAAGTTTCTTCACTAACCTTGTCTTCCTTTCCTACTTTGGCCTTCTTTCTTGCAACTGTTGTCCCATAAATGGGCTTCATATCTACCAGTCCACCTGTGCCTAATCAAAGACAAACCCACCAAGGAATCGTTACAAATAAGTAGAAAACTTCTACTGAAAGAAAAACCCAAAAAAAAAAAAAATGATGAACTAGCACAAACTGCATGAACTAGCAAGCAGAAAGTTTTAAAACCAAAAAAAAAAAGTACAAACGAAAAATTATAAACTAGTTAAACAAACCTTGTAACACCTCGGTACTGGGAAGTTCTCTGGCCAAACGTATCAATGGACTTCCTATGAACGATTTGCTTTTGATCCACCTTTTCAGGACCTCTTTTCTTGGTATCCATGGCCACTGCACAACGATCAGTCACAGCAGCACTTGGTGATATCTGCTGTGAGGCCGCGGTGACACAGCTTGATTGAGAGCCAGGACTCATCGACAAGCTCAATGACTGAAAATCCCCATAACCCGTTCCACATATATTACTATTGTTACTAGCCCCAGATTCACCACCATTTTCAGCCATGCAATAGTTCCTCGAGACCCAGTTGCTCTTCATGTTTTCATGGTGGACCCCATCATTTGCCATTGCTGGAATCTGGGTGTCTAAGTAATTATAAGAATAATGTTGCTGTTGCTGTTGCTGTTGCTGTTGCTGTTGCTGTTGTTGATGTTGTTGTTGTTGTTGATGTTGTTGCTGCTGTTGTTGTTGTGGATTTTGATGATGGTAATGATCTTGGTTGAGCAAGTTTTGGTTTGTGTTTGGGTCATGGTGGTTGTAGAACATGCTGTCCAAGCTCAGAGCCATTACTTCTCTGTCATTGCTTTCATAGTGATGGGTCCCAAAGAAGTATTCTAGTTTTGGTGTTGAACTTGTCGCCATTGCTTAGAACAAAAAAAGAAAAAAAAAAAAGTTGAGAAAATGTATATAGGAGTTCATAAATTTAGATAAAAAAATCTTAAGGTTTAAGTTTAGAAAGCAAACCTTGAGGCTGGGACCTGGAAAAAGCTTCCATTATACAAAGAGACCCATCAGACTTAAGTGGCATAACAGAAAGAGGAGAATAGAAGCCACCATTTTCTCCTTGATCAACTCCATAGTAAAGGCCATAGTTATGCTGTGGTGGGAGTGGTACTGCTGTGGAATGGAAAAAGTTTTTTGATGGTATTGAAGAGGAAACAGTTGTAGAAGAAGTTGAAGAAGAAGAAGAAGAGGATTTATGAAGTGTTTGGTGGTGTTGGTGATGAGGGTCAGAAGAAGGGACCTCCATTTTCATATTAGGGGAGAGGGAGAAACCCAACCAGTTATTATTACTATTGTTGTTGTTTTCATCATTGTTCATGGACTTCATCTCCTTTTTTTTTTTTTTTTTTTTTTCCTTTCCACAACTTCAGAAGAGATTCTTGGCAAGTTTCTCTTCAACACTCAATCATTGGGAAACAAATACAACACTTCTAATTATACCAACAATTTTTTTTTTCTTTTTGGTTTTTTGCTTTTTTCTTCTAATTTTGAAACTGGGGTTTTGTTTTTTTGTTTGTTTGTTAGCTGCACAGAGAGAGAGAGAGAGAGAGAGAGAGAGAGAGAGATGATTGGACCAAATCTAACCACTCATCTAAGCAAATCCAACTCCTGCTGCAACTGAATCTAAATATATGATGCTAATAGATTGGTATATGTTGTTGCACTTTCACTCTCTTCTCTCAGTCACTTTCTCTCTCTATATATCTGAAATCTGAGAGATTTCTAAAGAGAACAAAGCAAGTCCCTTTAAACTTAAACAAAAAGAATGAGTTCCAGCAAGCAATGCTGGGCATCCTTCCCGCATTCCATAGGGATCTGTGTATGAGAAAGACCTCTTCTTTAGCTTTACCCTACGCTCCTTTCCTTTTCCCTTTTCCTTTTTGGACCCGATTAAAATTGAAAACCCCCATTAAAAGTTTACTAATAATCCACCAAAAATACTAAACCCAGAAAAGATCTTTTAAAAAATAAAAAATAAAAAACCTTCATTTTTGTCATGTTGGTAACAAAAAACACTGATCACTGGCTCACTGCCCAGAAATACCCTGGGGTTGTACACAAGTTGCCCCCACTATAAGTCTATTAGGGGTCGTTTGCTTGAAGAGTTTAAGGTTGTGTTTATTTCATGCGTTTAAATTTATTATTTTAATTTTATCATAGTGTTTTTTATCATAAAAATTTAAATTTTAAATATTAAAATTAAGAATTATTGATTTAAATGTATAAATTAAACTGAACCTAAAGTTTTTCAACTCAAACCAGTGTTTATTTTGTAAAAAATAAAAAAAGGTTTGAACACTTGAACCCTCAAAATAAGTATTTCTAAACTTAAAATTCTCTTGAGTTCTTAAAGGGCTTATTCTTTTAGAGTAAAACTAAAAAAAAATTTAAACTCAAGTTACAATTTTATTCAAGTTTATGTTCGTTTGTAAAATTTGAGTTTTAACTTGAGTTTGGGGCTAAAATCTGAGTTTAAATTTTCTCTTCAACTCAAGTTCTTTAACTCAAATTCAAGTTAATAAACTGTATTTTTTCTATTCTTAAAAACGTAATAACTTTTTCGTTTTAATTCCGATTGAGATGATTTTTTTCTATGTGTTCACAACGAAGAGACGAATAAAATATCACCCATATATCCTATTAAAATTTTTCATCACCATTGAGTTTTTATTAAAATACTATCTAAATATAAATTTAAATTTTGACTCACTCAAATAAATTTTTAATTCAAATCATAACTCAAATGTGCACATCTAAACATAAACTCAAGTTACAACTTCAACTCAATATTTACACTCAAGTCATCATAAGATTTTAAACTCAAATTCAAACCACACAGTTCAAAAACTCACGTAGTTGAAACTTAAAATTCAAATGCACTTTGATTTGAACCTTTTACTACGAATTTTAAACATCGTTTATTTTACTGATTTAAAAGTGCATTTGAACCTTTTACTATGAATTTTAAACATCGTTTATTTTACTGATTTAAATTTATTACAGTAAAAAATTTATAAAAATAATTATATATAACTTTTTTATTATAATAAAAAAATATTCATATAAAATTATATTTTAATTTAAATTAAAAATTTAAATTAATGAATTAAACGGATCATTAATTATACTATCTAACAAAACTATTTTTTCTTTGTAAAGAAAAGTAAAAAAATAAAAAATATTATGGTGAATTTATATTTTTAATTTAAATTAAAATGTAATATTTTTTAAAAAAAATTTAATTTTGTGGGTGGTACACCAATATTAATGCACTGGGTTTTGGTTAATGATCCCAGGCTCAGGCTCTGTGAGGGTCTTGAATAGATTTTCACGGGGCAGAAGACAAACTGTCCCTCCAGTCACTTCATAACAGTGGGCAGCGTCTGTGCTGGACCTACAAAAATACTTTCCAAGTATAGGACAGGTATCTACACTCTTTTTTTTCTTCGTTTAAGAGAATGTTTGATATAAAGCCCCGTTTATTTCGTTGATTTGAGTTTAGAATTTGAGTTTTATTACAGTAAAAAGCTCTCACAAACAATCATATCTAATTTTTTTACTACAGTAAAAAGCTCTTAAATAAAATTACATCTCAACTCGAATTAAAAACTCGAATCAACGAACTAAACAAATCCTATTTATTATCTGATTCAAATCATGATTATGATTTATTATAATATTTTTTTTATAAAAATTTATTTAAATTAAAAATAATTCGAATCACATAGTAATTTAAATCCTCCATCTAAACGTAAACGTAGTAAAAAAAATCTCAAATTTAAAGTACGGATGTTAAATATTAAAAAATTTATCCAAAATAAAACTAGAAATGTTGAGGGGGGAGAAAAAAAAAAACTGTCTAAAAAACAAACCTCAGCTTCGGTCAACAAAATGTACCACACAAATAAACTAGTCAAAAGGTTAACAAATGGCTATTCATTTCGTCAATTTGAGTTTAGAATTTAAATTTTATTATAGTAAAAAATTTTTAAAAATAGTCATATTTAATTTTTTTATTACAGTAAAAAGCTCTTATATAAAATTACATCTCAACTCAAATTACAAACTCGAATCAGTGAAATGAACGGGCCCAAAATGTAGCATAAATTGAAATCATAAGAAAGTTGTAGCATGTGGAATAAATCTAATGAAATATGAAAATTGTGCTTATTACGCAATTTTTATAGTTAAAATTGTCTTTTTCATACAATTAGAAACTATTGTTTTAGTCATTATATTAATGGTTTAATTATATTTATGTGTTAGAAATAGGTCAGTGTCACGAATTGTAAATTTTTAATTACATGGACAATCACAAATTAATCCTACTAAAGAAAATTCAATGACTAAATAACAGCTCTTACCAATATTAGCATGAAAAGAGGACAATCTCTACCAAAGAAATTCTCATCTTATTAATAGAGCAAGTCTTTTAACTGTTTAACTATAAGTTTTTAACGGCCTGATTAATAATCCAAATACTTTCATACTGTAGGTGAAAATTCATAAATTAAACCATTACGTTGAATTTTGTTATGCTAACGTGCTCTACCTTTTTTTTTTGTTACCCTGCATTTTCGGCATCATTTAATTCGTTGATTTGTATTTTTAATTTGAATTGAAATGTGATTTTATGTGAGAATTTTTTACTGTAAAAAAAATTAAATATGACATTTTATAAAAATTTTTAACTGTAATAAAATTAAAATTAAACACTCAAATTGAGCCTTAAGTCTCATTCATTTTATGAATTTAAGTTTTTAATTTAAATTAAAATGTGATATTTTTTAAAAATTTTTAATTAACTGTAATAAAAAAAATTAAATATAATATTTTTTTTAAAAATTTAATTATAAAAATTTAAATCGATAAAATAAATAAATACTTAATTTTCTCATAATCTCTTTCTTTTTTCTTTTGTTGAGTATTACACATATGTTAGTCCTCTATTACCACAAGACAATTCTTCTCTCAACGATATGTTGTTTCCTGAAAAAGGTACTGAACTAGCACGGCAGGTGTTGGGCAAGTGTCAAAGCTGACTTGTCCTTCCTTGGCATTCATTAAAAGGGTTCTTACAACATTAAATAGTGTGTAAGTAATTCCCAGTTCAAATGGAATTGAACCACAAAAAACAGTCCCATTGAATGTCAACAATATGGTCTCTGCCCTTGCTGAGAAGTAACTAATTAGGATAAATCCAGGTAATTTATATTGTCATTAAATGTTTATTATCACAAAATAGCATCTTTGGAGTGTAATGAATCTACTAGTATTTAACTATGGTCTATGACACGTGATTTTATTAATCCAACAAAAAAAAAAGGAAAAAGAAAAATTAGGACCCATGATTTCAGACCGGCCAAAAAGAAAGGAGAAATGAAATATTTGTTTCACTCTGCAGCAGCAGTTATTCCCTTTCCTTTTCCAAAAGAAAAAGGAAAGAGCAAAACGCCATAAAGGGCAGCTTTGCTTTTTCCATCAAATGGACTAAAGCTAGCTATATGTACATACATTTCTTAAATGGTCATATCTACTTACCTATGGAATTCTCAATATATATCCTGTATACCATTTATATTCACAACATAAATGCATAGAACCAAGAATAAAAATAAAAACTGTGCATGTTCAAGATAAGGGGTGCATTTATGGTGGAGAATGCATTCCCTCAATTGACTAGAGTAAGAGCAGTTTATGTCTAGCATTTTAAATTTTTAATTCAAACATGCATAAATTTAACTATTAAAAAACTAATTCAATAAGAAATGATAATTCATATCAGTTAAGTAAAATAACTTTTTTCACCGTAAATATTACCTCAATATATATAAACAGAAAAATTAGATATTTGCTTTTCTAGGTCCTTAATTTTGGTCGTAGTCCACACCTGCTTCTCCAGACAAAAAAGTGAGAGGTGGGTCAGTACTGTAATGAACTTCAAGTGGGAAGGTAAGGTATATTACAAATTACAAATATATAATAAGATCAGATCATCAAAGAGCATCCTTATCCCAGAGCCATGCATGAACCATAATTAACTATATTGCTAAATGAACTTTCTTCTCATCTCTTTTCTTTTCTTTTCCTTACTTTTCTTTTCATCATCAAACTAGAGAAGATACTTATTCATTACATTCACATTAATGGATATGTACTGCTAAAAGAAATTATAGTTTAGTTAAAGAGTAGCAGATCAATACACCAATTTCGAGAATGCTTACATAATGCCACAATTCATGATCAACTAGGAAGAGAACTTTGTTCAAAGTTGATATTCCTGAAATGATAAGTGAAGGGCCCTTTAAGAACTCGCTTTTTTTTTTATTTATTTTATTTTTATATCTTGTGGGATCTGCATTTTATATCCTTTCTAATCATTAGTTCCTTATAAAAGGCAGAGCTTAATATTACTAAGCAACTTTGATAAAAATCTTTTTTTTTATATTTGCCCTCCTTTCGCTTTTTTTTTTCTTTTTCTTTTCGTTCTCTGAATTGCCCTCTTTTATATATTAATACATATTCACTTATATGACTAGCATCGACAAGTTATATTTCTTTCTTTTTTTGGGGACTAAAAACGGTACTATTTGGTCAGTGATTTGATCACAGATCAGTTCCTTGCAAACATTTTCTGAACATATTCAGTCTCATTTTCCTGCCGTTACTGAAACACTATAATGCTGTCTTAACAGCGAATTGATGAATTCACAATCTGTGGCTCTTTTCTTGAAAAAAAAAACAAAATCCTTCTATAGCTCTTCATGATAATATTCTTGATTAGTTGATTCGAAATCATTTACAAGTACTGTTTTAATACCGCTAATCTTTTATATATTTATTTTTTCTTATATATCCAAAAGTACATGAACAAAATCTAGTAATACATTATTATTATACATTTCTTACATGTGACAATTCTTGGCAATTATATGCGGAAACTTTTATGGTGCCTGGTGCTGGAAACATGATAACTTATGAATTTTATATTCAAACTTACAAATTGGAGTTATGTATGTAAGTTCTGTAGATTTGTGAATTTTTTAAAAAAATAGGGTAATAATTTGTGAATTGTGTGATGGAACTTGTAAATTTTGAAAGTTAAAATTATAAAAATTATGATAGATTTGTGCACAAACACAGTACTGTGAAGGCACCATAAAAAAATCGTCTGCGGTAGTAATTTTGAGGGTTTTTTTTTTTTTTTTTTAAAGGATGTACCTTATAATTTCGTAATATACGTACGTGTTGCATGCAATTCAATTAATTTGCATGGCCAAGTTCGTGGAGACAGATTTTCAAGAAGGCATCATTGGGTTTGGGAAAGGGATATTTGGGTGGGAGTTTTTAGGAGTGAAAGACAACGAGGACCAGGAAGAACGTAGTAGTAGCAATCCTCTTTTTTGATTGTTGTAATGATGAAAATATTGCACCAATTCTACCCACCAATTGCACTAGATGCCAACAATGCTTTTTGCTTCAAATAATGCATTGGCCAAAACTATTCAGGCTTTGTGCTTGTCTTTGAAAAAAAAAATTATAATAAAAATAAAAATAAAAATCTTGCTTTTTCTTGAATTTTTATTTTCCCTACCCTTTTAGTGGGAAGCAGATGGGGAAGGGTTGATGGTACATTTGGTACATACCTACCTTTCTTTATTTATTTATTTTTGATAATTGATAAAATAATTGAAAATAAGTTGTCAATTATTTTTAGGATAAATTTCATTTTTGCTTCCCAAACTTTATTCTGTTTGTCATTTTGTCTCCCGAACTTTAAAAATTAATCTCTGTTAAGTTTATTAATCAATTTGATGATGTGGCCGGATTATTTTTATAAATATCTCTTGAAATATGTACTTTATTTAAAAATGCTTCATGATCTATGAAAACATATCAAAATGACTCTTAATTTATGAAAAAATAATAAAATAACAATTTTATTGATGCCATTAAAAATTATTACACATTAAATTCTAATGAAATCAATGAAAGTGATTAAATATTAAAAATAATAAAAAAATATAAAACACTTTACTTTAAAGAAATTAAAAATTAAATAAATCAAATATTTTTAAAACAGTAAAAAAACCCAAAAGTAAAGAGGAAATTTTTTTTGAAAAACCTACTCCCTCTTTGTAAATATTTATTTAATTTTGAAATATATTCCTCTTTATTGATTTATTTGATTTTTCAATTTTTAAATTCAAGTGTTTTATATTATTTTTTAATATTTAATCACTTTTCTTGATTTAATTTGAATTTAATATGTTTAATTAGTTTTGAATGGCATGTCATATCAATAAAACTATTATTTTATTATATTTTCTATAAATTAGGGGCATTTTAATCTATTTTAATAGATCATGGAGCATTTTTGAATATGGTACTTCGAGAAACATTTATAAAAATAATCTATTAAACTACCCCTCCAATAATTATCATGTCAACAAATCCATTAATAAAATTACCTGAAGGGGCGAAGTTAATAACGTTTTAAAATTCAGGGGGTGTGCTTACCAATTTTCAATGTTCGAGAGGCAAGTGACAAACAGACCAAAATTCAGGAGGTAAAAATAAAAATTATCCTTATTTTTAACTTGAATTGTCTTCTTTTAATGGCATTTGTACTAACGTCTTAGTAGTTTGGTTTTTTTTTTTTTTTTTTTTTTTTTTTTACAATAGGGGGGGTCTTGGGTTCTATATTAGATTTGTGATAGGTTCGTCAGTTTTTTATATTTATTTTTTTATTTTTTATATAATTTTTGATCAAATTTAATATTTAGAAACACATAGAAGGCATTAATTTTTATTTAATATTTTGATCAAATTTAATATAGTAGACATAGAAGGCTCTTTTTTTTTTCCCCTTGAAGTCTTGATATTTTGCTAATTATGTTCTACTCGTACTTGCTCATCCATCTTCATTCTGAAGGCGAAGATTTCCATTGAGTGGCTATAACTGCTATGGTTTACAAAATGGATGCGTTTAGAACTCATTTTAAAATGAATTTATTTTTTGTATGAAAATGAAAATGAAAACGTTTTCAATCTCAGACATAAATCATTTTTAAAAATGCGTTTGGTGGTTTTATCAAGAGATTATTTTCAATATAAAAAAACCCAGTAATGTCTCTATCTTTTTCTCTCTGCTTGAAAGAGGAGAAAACGAAAACAAAAAATGAAAAACGACTAAAAGTCATTTTTATTTCTCTCTCATTTTACACTAAACTAAAAAATTATTTTTATTTCTATTTTTTATCTTTATTGCATCAAACGCTGTTTTAGAAACGTTTTTATTTTTTCTAATTAAAAATAAATAAAAAATAAAAACAAAAATAATTCCAAACACGGTCAATATTTCTAAATTACCTAATTTCTCGTCGAGCCTTAAAGGAGAATAGCGAAACTACAGACATCAAACTATGTATGTATGTATGTATGTATGTATTTATGCACGTATATACTATGCGTATGTATGTATTATGTTTATAATCACGATAAAGTTGAGGATCTTAGAGGGAAAAAAAAGAAGTGAGCGAGAGAGAAAGAGAATAGCATTCCTAGCTAGAGGTTTGGCGCATTAACAAGCTTTCTCCTACCAAAATTCATCCACAAGGAGATGGGTTGTTTCATTAATGAAATTGATGAGCGGGGTTCGTGCCTTCAGTTGCAAGATGGTTTTGAAGCATGAGTATACTCAAAATTCAAAACTTGATGTATAACTGAAATGTTTTTAGAACAATCTTAGATATTTCAAGAGTGAGTGCGGTAATCGTAGAAAATAGTAAATTTTTAAAATTAAATTAAGAAAATAGTAAATTTTAAAATTATTTGAAGTAAATAACAATTTATTGTGCAAATGTTTCATTTGCGATAGGTAAAAAATATGTTTTGACATGAAAAAAAATCTTTTTACTAATCGTAAAAAGAAAATGTAAGTGGAAAAAAAAAACCTTTTTATTAGTCTTAAATAAAATATTTACACGGTAAACTGCTATTTACTTCAAATAATTTTAAAAATATGTTATTTAGTTAATAAGAGACCAAAGTATAAATAACCCTTAGGGGGCACCTACCCCGGACCAAATGTAGCTCTGCCCTGTTTACAAGCTTGTCATTAGGCATGTTTCTACTCTAATATTTGTTTGAAATTGGAGGACAAAGTTTCACTAATGAAATTAGAATTGTAAGGTTCTGTTTGATGCAACGGAGAAGTTTTTGGAATAGCTCCATCGTAATATTCACGTGACCAACACTAAGGGGTAAAAGTTCTTTTGTACTCACAAAAATTTCCTCAACATTTAATTTTACTTTTCACATTCAATTTTCTCAGCAAAAAAAAAAAAAAAAAAAAAGTCGGTATGATCGGCGACATAGAATAATGAAGTAAATATAAAAAGCCTTCTTTGTCTGGTGGAGGTTACTTTTTTAGGCATGCATGCCTAAAGAAATTTGAACACAAATATTCTTCTTTTGACAAGTGAGAAATGGCAAAGATCACGAAAGCATAACGGCAAAAGAGCACAATAAATAAGAGATCAAGTATGAGACAATATTTGATCCAAATCTAATGGATCAAACTATCAAGTTTTTATTCCTCATTCTACATAACGCCAACGCAACGCCCTACTTAAAGAAGATCTAAATTAGTACAGAACCAAAAACATAAAAATAAAAAAATCCAAATCCCTCAAACTTTCTTGTTTAGCTTAAAACGATTGGAAAAGAACCAATCTCTTACCCAAAGAGGGGACCAAGAAAGCAAGGCAAATAGAACAGTCATGCGCCCAAATACAATCTTCCTAGGCGGTTTTCGACGCAAAACTCTCTTCACAACATGCCTCGCAAAAACCCCAGAATCCGTAGCCTTACTTCCTTGAGAAGCCCTAGCTCTCTCTTCAATGGCCTCTTTGAACTCTCCATAAATTTTCCAATCAAAATCCCCTAGTCTCTCCACATTTGCTTTCCCAAAATTGGACCTTATGGACCCCGGTAAAACAAGCACAACATTAACATTAAAAGGCCTAAGTTCCACACGCAAAGTGTGTGACACGGCATGAATGTAGGCCTTAGTAGCGCAATATGAACCTGCCCAAGGTGTAGGGACTTTTCCCACTACGCTTCCAATGTTCACTATGGTCCCACTTCGTTGAGAAATCATGTGGGGTACAATTTCTTGGACCAATCTCAGCTGTCCCAAGCCGTTGATTTCCCACGCCTTTGTGATCGTGTCCAATGGAAGCTCGGCCAAAGGGCCGGTGCTTCCTATCCCTGCGTTGTTGACCAAAATGTCAATGCGGCCGCATTTTGATATGATGTTCTTCACAGCGGAGGATACACTCTCCTCACACGTGACGTCTAGTGCTAGTGTCTCGACCTTGTCAGGTGGGAGGTCTACGACGTCGTTTAGGCGTTGGGGAATGTCGGAGGCAAAAACGCGGCAATTTTGATCTGCGAAGGCTTTGCAGTACTCGTAACCTATTCCACCTTTGGCACAACCAGTCACTAGAACAACCTTGGGGCCGTTCATAATTGTAGGTTTGATCTTGAATATTTCTTGATTGATTGTTTATTCTTATATAAGAATACGATCGAGTTTTCTTGTTCTTAGTTAAGGCATATAGAATATCCTTCAAGAGATATACTATCTCTTGCATAGAGGCCGGCTAATGTGGGACTTATTTGCTCTTGTCTAGTGGTTTTTATGCCATGTTTTGATGTAAACTTTAGACAGAAATGTACAATTTGTGCAAGGACATAATAACCTTTATTAAACTATTTTATGCGGCTCTTATTTTCATCCTCTTCACTTGTCACATTCATTTTATATCCATTAATTTCGCCAAACAAAAAAAAATATAAATATATATATACATTAATTTAATCTTTCGATTTACAAAGAGTACCAGCCGATTTAGTCACTATAGTATTCCTAAAATATCCTTTCGGTACCCAGGAAAAGTAACCAAATGGGTTTTTGCCACAAATTTCTTTAGAGTTTAGCCTCTCACTCCTAAATTAGCAAACTCAATCTAAGCCATCAAAAAATTTTCCTTGTGTTAACAAATGTGCCAATACAATTTTCCCTAACACATGTTAATTAATGAAAATTTTCACCGTTGTTACCCCAAGTAGAGACACAAATCGAATAGATTGGGGTTAGTTCTTATGGGACCCACAGAAACACTGTGCTACAAATTGTTTAGCACTATCCTATGTGACATTCTCTTTTTTTTTTTTTTTTTTTTTTTGGGGTGAAACAAACACCTATGTCTATTATATAAACACTGCTGAGTATACATCATATCATAGTATACAACAAGAGCGCAAATTTTGGCGGAAAACATGTTTCACGGTTTCCTTGCAACTTTGTAGTGGAATAAACAAATGAGTAGTAGTCATTGTCATAAAACAAGAAGAATAAGAAGAAGAAGAAGGAAACAACCGATGCTAATTAATGAGTGAGCTTATTATAATATAATGTAAAAAGCTGATTTTGGTAATTCCACGTAGGGTAGCATCAAAATTCCGGCTTCTTTCTTTTCAAGTTGAGAATTTAAATTGAAAAATAAATTTATGTGAAAAAAATATTATAACAAAAATGTGAATTTAAATTTTTATAAGATAAAAATATTATAATAAAAAATTTAAATTATAATTTAAACGGTGAAAAGAACGGGATTAAGAGACTGCAAAAAAATTGGCATTTGCAAGAGATGTCAACAGAAGTGGATAGCAACGTCCCAAGTGAGAGCGACCAGAGACGTGTGTTTTGTGCACACAGTCACTGCATGCATTAAGGACTAAAAAGGCCTATGAGGCTCTACCTTTTTTAAGAGCTAAGTGTTAAAAGGATAAAATGTCTGAGTCTCAATATTATTTAAATATTATCTTAATTACAATTATATAAAAATAGTGAATCACTTTATTTAAATATATTAATTTTTTAAAATAGAAGTTCAATATTTTATAAAGTGTAATTTTTTTTTTACTCTTTTTTAAACTTTAATATGGTATCAGAGCTCATTATTTGAATGAGTTAAGTCGATCAATCAAAATAAGATTGGTGACTCTAGCGGGGCACTATTTTGTGGGGGTGTGTTAAGAGTAAAATGTATGAGTCTCATATCGTCTAAATATAAACTTAATCACAATAATATAAAGATATTGAACCACTTTATTTAAACATGTTAACTTTTCAAAACAAAAGTTTAATACCTTCTAAAATGTAATTTTTCTCCTCCATTTTTCTCCTCAAACTCCAGTACTAGGCCTATAAACTGTACCCTTATAGTCCATTAAAGATGTTTTCTTCCCTTATCCTAATGCCCATTTCTCTGCAATTTCCTAACCCCATTTCTCATTCTGCCTCCTTTATTTAATTGACTTCTTATCCTCTTCTCAGTTCTCTCTTTCTGTGGGAATTATGTCATGTCACATTCAAACACAGGATTCTCTCTCTCCAGGGCTACTTTCACACAACTGCAACATCTAGATGTTGCAAAAATCTCTAGTTTCCTTGGATTTTGTCTTGACGGATTTTCCTTTGTTGTTATCTGTATAGACTACTGGACTTATTTTCTGCTAGATTTGGGTTGGAAATAAAAAATAAAAGCTAGCATTATATTATAAGGATTTTTTTTTAGTATGCTAATATATTAATAGATTAAAATTTTCGTTTATTAAATTTATATAAAATAACATAAAAATTAAAAAATACATAAATACAACAGTTTAAAAAATCTGACCAATTAATATTAAAATCTCCAAATATTATATAGACTACTAGCCTAAAGACTGTATTGGGTATTCTGGCCCTCGCTTAAGACCCTACGAGATTTGATGTAGATATATATATATATATATAATATATTATGAGTTTTAATTCGTTGATTTGAGTTTTTAATTTGAGTTATATGTGATTTTGTGTGAAAATTTTTTCTTATAATAAAAAAATTAAATGTGACTGTTTTTAAAAGTTTTTTACGGTAATAAAACTCAAATTTTAAATTTAAATCAATAAAATAAAAAAGACTTTTTTCGTCTATCCAAACAGAAAGGGTACCAAGATTGAAGAAGTGAAGGAAAGAGAAAGAAAAAAAAAATTCTTCCCATAGATAGACTTTGAAAGGTCCAGTCATCAATGTCCCAAAATTCCTAGGACCCCTAGAGCGTCTGAAAGAGAGTGCAAAACAGATAAAGCAATATTTATTATTGAATTTATATCCCTACAGAGTTTGGTTGGTGGGGTTTCTTCTCTTGAAAAATTCAAATTTCTTTGAAGCCACAAAAAAAAAAAAAAACCAAAAAACTTCTTTTGGCCCTGGACACGTCAAAGGGGTCCCTTACAACGTCCTGAAAATATGGATCCAATTTGATTTCCCACTTTATTGTCGTTGCAACAATAGAGGAATGAAATAATTTCTTTTTTTTTCCCTCGATATGTTTGAGCAACCAGTATAAACTTTGTCAAAGAACTAGCTACGATCCAACAATCGTAATAGGTAAAAATAATAATAATAATAATAATAATAATAATAATAATAATAATAGTAATGACTCTTAAGAGAACCGAGTTTGATAAAAATTTATGGGAATACGTCCAATGTGCAAGTCTATCATCTCAAAACAAAATGATGACAAAAAAATAAAAGTAAAAATAAATAATATCTAGTATCACCCGTGATTAAACAACACTGTCCTCTCCAATTAATTACAGTTCCAACTTCTCCATTGAATCGCGATACTGCAACACAAACAGAAACATATTTTTTTGGTTATAATAATATGATTCTTTGTCTACCAATATACTATCTGGATTCAATATGAAAAATAAGAACGAAAGGAATAAAAAAAAAAAAAACAAAGAATGAAATAATCAAACCTAACACAAACATTCTTATTCTCATGTATATAATGTGTATACTTATATTAATATATAGTGTATCACACATATTTTTATCTTCTAGATACAACGATGATAATAGCATTATTATATTCTCTTAACAAAAAGACTATAAGTCAAGAAAATATGCATCAAGCCGCAATCAATATGGAATTATAGTGCATAACCAGTAGAACAACTAAACACTACCAAACTGTTAAAAATTTGACCCAACAAAAAAAAAATGCAAATTGAATCTCTAATGCAAAATAGTCATAAGCTTATAATCTTACCAGGGAGAGACAAATTGATTAATTGCTCTCTGAATAATTCCAAGCGTCATAGCCTTAGTTAGTGGTATGGCCAAATCTTGAGTGTTCATTATAAGAATAATAATAATAACCTGGAGTGCAAAAATCATATGGATAAAAAGGATTTTGACCAAATCTTGACTCAGGCCAATAATAATTCATGTTGCCACCAAACCAAGCTCCATAATGATTTAGGTAATTATAAGTGTTATAATAATATTGCGGGTAAGGTGGAAAATAAGTGTATAAATCGACACTCAAATTTGGATGGAAAGGCATAAATGACGGTGATCTTAATACTCTCTCTTTAGGCTCGGCTTTCTTGACCTCAACGCGTTTACTCTTCACGAAGTAAAATTTATTTTGCAAAACATTATGGGTTACTTCTTCAGAATCAAAAGTAACAAATCCAAATCCTCTGGACCTATTTGTTTCTTTGTTGTGTATAATTATTATGTCTGTGATAGTACCAAAACTCCCAAAGAAACTCTTCAATTCTTCTTGTGACAGATCATGAGGTAAACCACCGATGAAAATCTTCATGTATTTTTTTTTTTTGTTTTGGGTATAATACTTGGTTGTTCTTCAATATGAGAGAAAGTAATTATATTCTAAGCAGAACTATATTTATATACGAACAAAGAAGGGAACTCATACGTAATTTGATAAGGACTAGGAATTCTACCTGCATAAATAATAAAACATGAATTCAAATAAATAAATAAATAAAAAACGAGAAACATAAATCTAGATCAGTGAGTTTCACACGAGTAAGTTTTTTCCTGTCTACTATCTAGAGTTTTATAAGTTATATATATCCAACTTCTTTTCGAACTGGAGACCTATAATGAGTGGAACATGATTTTTGTTAATGACATATATAGGATAAGTATAAACTAAAAAGAAATTATTACCTTGAACCCCAATTTGCAAAGGTTGAATTTATTCGAATAAAAAGATAAAAATAAATATTTTATGTGGTCTTCATCTAGTTCTTTCAATTAACATATTTTTCTTTATTTCTTAAAAAAATATTATCCTACTTTTCTTTATCTAATATGATTTTAATGTCATATGGCGGTTAAAAAATTGCGGTGATAATTTTTTTCTTTTTCTTCTTTTTTTATATAATACTATAGAACTCTCAAAATAGGTAATAAGAGAACATATGTAATTTTTTTTTAATTTTTGCTAGGATATGAAAAAAAAAAAATCAATGAGACACAGTTTTTAATTGTTAATTTTTCATTAGGTTACCTTAAATTGTCATACATATAGTTAATAATTGTACCTGAATTTGATTTTAACCCATAAAAGCTATATCCTATTACTAGG